GGGGGTGGGGGCGGGTGGGGGGGGGGGGGGGAGTGTGTGCCTATTAGCATGTCTTCTTTATTCTCAGCGTCAATGTCGTCTTCCACGGTGGCCGGTACAGGAAGTTAGTGGCGCGCGGAATGCGAGAGAGAGTTGATGGTGGAAAGACGACGGAGAACCCACTCGAAAGAGAGAGACGTGTGCAGGGAGTGTTTCGGGGAGTTAGAAGGAGACAGGAAGATAGAATGTGGGGAGGGGAGGATGTCCAGTTGATGGGGGCGCCTTCTGGGCCGGGGAGGGGGGCATGGAAGAGCATTGGCTGTCCTGCGTTCAGTTGCTCGCTAGCTGCCGGTCAGTGTGCGCCGCGAGGTTGGTACTGCCGGATCGCGACAGTAAACTTGAAGACTGGTTCAGTACCACGTGCAGGCGACGGGACAGAAAGCAGTGGTCCACACGAACACGGGACACAGAACCTGAGGAATTTTTGTGGGGAGTAAGACTCGTACGATTTTAAAGACGCACGGTGCAGTGTTTGATTAAATTAGTGTACGAGTGATTTCTGTGTTGGCTCCTTGGTGAATACGTAATGAGGGGACGTGTTTGTGTGTTTGTGCGCGTGCGCTGAGCGCTGAGGTTGTATCCGGCCGGGCATATGAAAAACATGAAGACGGGGAACTGAGGTGGGGTATTTTAGTCCTACTGCCTGCCAATTGGCGTTCCCTTCTTTAAAAAAATTAATACCTCCTCCCTTTCTCTCCCCTTCCATACATCGATAACCCTCTCTTATTGATACCTTCCCCCTATTATCATCCCCGGCAAATGTTATTCAACTGGAACCAACGTACGCACATGCAACGGCTCTTGTGAATTTCAAGGTTCCGGTGCGGCCTCCACGTGTGTTGATTGGTGGTTGTGATTTGGGTAGTGAAAAGCAAATTGAAGTACTTCGCGACTATGCCATGGTTATGCAAATACAGAATCTGCAATTACTAAAGTGATTCGCGAGTTGTTACGCATTTGTTTTCTTTACTTCAAACAAATATCACCGCGCTCATGTCGCCAGCATGACTGATTCGAGGGCGACACTGTGTTGGTGATCTTCGGTTTCGGATCGCTATCTTCAGCGTGCACTGTTTCCCATCAGAATAATGCGAGGAGCGGTCTCCTCGTCGGCTCGTCGTTTCGATCGTGACCCAACACAGAAGCGACTCTGGCGGAACTGAACACAGACGCTGTACGGCGCTGGGTGGAGGCGTCCGCGGTCGCCGCCTCTGAAGCATTTGGCAACAATAATACCGAGAAGCGAGACAACAACAACACGATTGAGAGTAGCTGTGTGAAGACAGGCCATCAGTGGTTCGGCGCCGCGCCAGCTGCAGGCCACCATCACCACTGGTGGCCGTCCTGGCGCGACTTCTGCACAGCGGCGGCGGCCAAATCCGTGGACGCAGCCCCCGAGAGCCCCCCTGCAAACACCCACAGTCCTCCCATGCCCATGCTTCTGCAGCAGCAACCACCAGCGCCACATGAAGAGCAACCCTTGGATTTCTCGGTTGGAACTATGAGCAAATACAAGCAGCTTCCGCTTAAGAGCCAGGGTCAGGCGATGTTGCAGCAAAATGGTGGTCATCACATAGTCAGACATCACAGGAACAATAACAAACACAACCAAGACCAGAACCGGAGAAGTTATCATCAGCAGCAGCAGCAGCCGCAAGACACTAGTAGCAGTTCCTCGGAAGACGAAGGCGTTGGCCCGCCCTCCCCGACGGCAGTTGAATCACCCGGACCACTCCGAGGAGACGGTGAGTTCATGTGCCTGCACTCGGTTGCGTTTTTAACATTCGTGTTTATACTCTTTCTTCGTGCAGTGGACGAAAGAATCGTGAAACTCCCTTCACGTTCTTCTGATTGGTGGGTCTGTGGGTAAGATCCGATGCTCTTCACATTTTTAAAATTCGTATCTCCGCAAAGCGAATCTTTGCTCTTTACTCGGTCCACGCCTTTTTCTAGACTTTGCCTCGGGTCTCTCATCGTCTCGGACAGAGATTTTTGCACCGTAACAACGCCAGAATCGACTTGTGTTCTCCCTTAAATGAGTGCAACGTGGATTGTGCCCACCGGAACAAAGTTTCTACTAGCGGAGCCGTGATTTCGCTCTCGGTTGTACGTCCCGAACTGTGCAGTTACGTTTGTGGCTCTCGTTCGGATGATAGGATAATTAAGGAATAATAAATTGGAAAACATAAGGAAGGAAGTGGTCGTGGCGTTTTCCCGGCTTTAAAAATCGGTCCTCCCGATGTGATGTTTGGCTAGTTGCGTAGTCAAACGGGGCGCCCTTGTTTTCGGCGATGTTAACGTGAAAGGTTAATTGTTCAGGTTAAAGGAGAAGCGGAAATGTGCGCATATGAGACCTCTGACGTGCGCCACGGTCTTTTCTCCCCACAGAGAAATTTGATTTTCAGTTTCTGGTGCTCGTCAACACTGCGACTTTTGTTTATGCGCGTATGGGCTACCAGTCCGTCGACCAGGTACCGCGGCCGAAGTCTGTGGGTCAAAGTGAAACCGGAATATTGTGTTAAATGTTTCATTACGCCCCATGAACAGGTTTCCAACAGTTTAATGCGCTGTTCGTATGTTCTAAAGTCTGTGCTGTCCCAGCACAAACATTGACTAACACAGGAAAGAATCAGTTACTGCAAGGCTTCGAAACACGAATTTCTGGAAGCTGTTTAGGGAAGTAACAGTACGTACTTGCTGTTTCGTCTCAGAATTGCACGAAACACGCAAATACTTGCTGCCAGGTAAAAATTCGGGGTTTCGGAATGTCGAAGCAGATGCCAGCACCGCTGAAGGCTCATTGACAGATGTGCAACCCGCACATTCCAGTCAGGAGACTTTGGGACAATGCAGAGATTACGTGTAGCATCAGAAGGAGAGGTTCCAGGAGCAAAATCCAAGTGACATAATTACGTTATTAATCACCTCTTGGCAGATGATTAAAAGTAGTTGCAACACGCTCGTTGCCACGTTAATGGAGGTTAGCAAGTAGATTAGGGTAGTGCAGTGAACGCGTAAACTTGTCCGAGCTGTACACGAAATGCGCAGGCAGACACAGGACGGAGCCAAAAAGAATTCTTTCAGTGTGACTTACATTTGTTTACGTTCTGTGAGGATAAATCGTGGCGAGGCGAAGTTGATGGCGCTTGGTGTCACGAGTAGGCCCGTGGCCCACGAATTTTTTGTAACGGAGAAAAAGCGAAACGGATTACGTATGTGTGTTCTGCTTGACAAAGTCGCGGTGTTCATGTCGGCTTCGCAAACATCGCTCATTACGTTGAACCCTGTGATGGATGAGTTGCTCAGGAAGTAACTGCGTCTTACACTTACCCAATTGCACGAGAAGTTCGCCGTCGACCTAACCTACTCATTCACTGCGCACTTTCCACTTGCGTCACGAAAATGCTCGTAGTTAGCGAAACGTCGCTACAGAATCGCTCAACTTCTCCCCGAATTGCGCATAAACAGGGCGCTGTCGAGAATATTTTGGCCCTGAAGAGGGAGGGGGAGGCCGCTTCCTTACCTGCACTCTTCACCGGCTATTGACATGGCATTCCTCTTAGCACGCATGGGGACAGAAAGGGCGGATGATAGTAAAATGGGTGATAAGGAAATAGGATCCATGTGCCTCGGGAAAGAGCTGGCGCTGCTATGAACGTTTCGATTTTATAAAAGACGGGGAATTTCGTGACCAGCTGGCCGAGTCTGTGAAGTCACTTTTGTGCTTTGAGTTAAGGTGGCTCACGTTCTGCGTTGTTACACGCCCTCGGCTTCTGTTGAAGTACAGAGCTGTGTAGGAACACGTGGACTCATGCCTTGTATTCTGTTTGAAACACCGGGAAGTGTCAGGTGTAAGGCACACCCTCCGGTCATTTGTTAAAATTTACAACTCCTGCGGATCGCATGTTCGTTAAGAGTCCTGTGGTCGTTAATTTTTCAGGAACATTGAATAATACATTTTTCCTTTCCCTTCGAAACCCGTCACTTCGGACAGGCGAGCTCTTCGCAGATTCGTTTTTCTGTAGGGCAAAGAGGTCTGTCTGCCTCGGCGATGGCAGCAGACCTCTGAGGACGTGAGTTGGCGTCAGTTCTCGCCGCTCGTCGGGAAGGCGGCGTTAGCTGCCTCGTGCTGTACCAATTCCTTCTGCCCGGGCCATGGGCCCCGAAACCCAAGCGTTTTGTAAATCTTAGAGAGATGTATTCCAGAGAGAATTCTTTCTTCAGTTTCTGTTATGACCAGTATTTTCTTTTTTGCAGTGCAAATTAAAATAAACTCTAATTAAGTGCAACATTCCTATGCATCTTTCACATTTTCCCCAAATTAAATTTGCCTTAATCGATATTAGAATATTCTTTTGTGGTAAAGCAGTACTTCCTTACGCCACTGAATCTTCGTGTGCATCCACCGCCGCTACTGAAACAATTGTAAATCAGAATCTAATTTAAAAAAGTGAGGATTCAGGCGCTGAGCGCATAACAACAAATTGGTGTTCGTTATTCGTTGTGCTGTTAAACTGTTACTGATCAAATAGCCATCAGGCGAAGTTTAAAGCTTAATCTCATCGCTCTGTTATTTAATCATTATAAGTACGAACTTAATTTCAACTGCAGATATTTAGTTCTCACCTCAAAGAGAAACGCAACACATTTGTAGCGCATATAAAATGATGGTCAGGGAAATTATCGCTGTTTAATAAGAGATTCAGTATATAAAGATGCACACTGTAGGCAGAACCCAGATTTATTGAGTTCTGTAGCACGTGGTGTATATATAGTGCGTACTGTACCTTAAACGTTTTGACCTCAGAAGTGTATTTAGAATTACACAACGCATTAGTTTTGTATATGGTTCGCAAAAGTCCGACTGCTGCGTAACCGTTTTTGGTGATACGATGTTTTCGCGGAAGTGACGAGAAAAAACCTTATAATGGCTTGCTCTTAATTTACAGTCTCGCAAGGAGATTAAATTGTATCCGCTGCGTATTTTAGACCGTAATTTATTTTGTATCATCGGCTTTCGCGGATAATGCACATGTAAACGGAAGTTCCTTCTTCACAGCTGCTGCCAGACGTATGGAAACTCTTCGTACAGAAGTTAATCAGAGTAACGTTCGATTGTCTTCGTACCTGTCTTCAAACCCATTTCTGTTGCGAAGTCAATGAGCTCCTCCCATTTTGGTGTATTGTAATTATCCTTGCTTTGTCAGAAGCACAGATGAAAGAGGGTTTCGTACCCGCTGAAAACATAATACCACAGGTAGATATTATTCTTTCGGTCCCACTCGTGGGTCTTGTTAATTTTCCATTGCGTCTGAAAGAACATTATCATTTACCTGAATCTCAAGCTCATTAAAGAAATCATTCGTGTCGGGAAACTGTCTGCGACATTCTGCTTGAGAAGGAATCTAAATTTTCGTGCCGAGGTAACTGTGACGTCGCACTTTGGAATGATCACGTTACTTCGCCTGTCTTTGTAAAAATGTCTGCCAACTTCTGGAGTCTCGTCGTCAGACTGGTGTGTTGACAGCGAGTAGAGATGGTCAGAACCGATGTTCGACAATTCTCAGCGCCTCGTGAACGCGGGAACCAAACTTCTGGAGCAGGGGCGTCTAGCTGATGCCCGTCTTTGTAATTGTGTTACACTAAACCAATGCAGTGCGAAGTTAAGCAGGACGTTGTTAAAGTAGTCCCATTCGACTGCATTCTGTCGCCGATGAGCTGAGACTGCTATGCTGGCACCCTGGGTTCCGCGGTACACAGTCTGAGAAACAGCCTGTACCGCTTTTGAGCCCCGCCCTCGCCGAATAAATTCACCCTCGAGTCTACTTATTTCACGTTGCATTCTTTCGTCTTCACAAGCGTCAGTTGTCGAAGAGTTGTCCCGTCAGAATTTTGTGTGCCAACTGTCCTCGATCTTCGTGTCCAGCTCATCGCAATTTCGTTGACGTGACAACGCGAACTGGTTTGTCACCACATTTTCCGATCTGTGATTTGGTCACTTTTTTACGAGTTTGATGTTGACAGTCTTTGAACGTCTGTTCCGTCATATTTGAACACGTCACAGCTCAGTGACGTATCGCAAAATGCGAGCACGCACCGGCTCTGTCCGGACCGATTGTTCGCACTGACGCGTGACCCGTCGGTCCATACCGCGAGCGAGTGTCTACCTAAGCGGTGCCAGGGTAGAAGCACGTAAGTCCGAAACGTTGGAGGAACTGGAAACAGCTCTCCGAAACTTCTTCATTATGTTGTCGAAACGTCCGTCTGTATCGAAGTTACGAACAATAAATATGCAGACATTTTATAGGACCCCTTGGACTGCACAACACTAATGAAACTGATACAAACATTCGACTCGACATAATGTCCCGGTAGGCGACAAACCGCGTCCCGCTGAGCACACCCTCCGTGGTCGCCGCAAACGTTATCAGGTGAGGAGAAGTTACGAAGCTCCCCAGAATGTCATTGTAAGCATTCTTCCATCTGCTTTTACTCTCCGAAGTGCAAAGTTCTTAATCTGTATTCGTCCGTCAGAGTTAAAGAGCGGTCCCAAGAATTTATTTCAGTTTGTCAGAGGCCGTGTATTCGTTCGCCATTGTCATTTCTCAACCAGAGGGTTTAGGATCTATTCTGCTACCTTAATTCTTTGCTGACAGAAATAAAACCCGAGACTGGGTATCTGCATAATGGTGGCGAAGGGCTCCTTCGGACCAACACGTCGCCCTTCATTGGTGGTTGTTTCAAT